GTCTCTCTCTCTCTCTCTGGCGAATAAATAAATAAAATCTTTTAAAAAATAAAATTTTCTTTAAACATTTTTTTTAAAAATCCAACCCTCCTCCCCAGTCCCCTGGGTAGATGAGGTCTTCTAGTACATGAGAGATGTTGTCTCTTACTTGTGCATTATTATTAATAATGTCCAGTACCCCCTTCTGTGAGGTCAGGAATTATTCACCACTGTATACCCAGTAGGTGTTCAGTAGGTAGGGGGTCAAGGATGATAAATGAATGGAGGAATAATTATTTTTGTTGACAAGTGGCAGCATCAGGGTCACACTTCAGGAAGGAAGTTGTTTGAGCCGATGCATGAGGCTCCTGAGGAAGCTACACTGTTGTGCTTTTAGACCATCTAGGACTTGCAAGTTCTTAACACCTCCTTGTCTGGGGTCCGGGTCTACCATTCCCAAGGCGCTGGGTATTTCATGACTTTGAAAAATGGCTGTAAGCATGCCTGACTTTCATACAGCAGCTGTTTGCCTCTCCTCCCAGGACAGAGATCTCCACGGGGCCCCAGTGAGAAACTCTTAACTCATGATAACTCGTGCCCCATTTGCTCGCATGCCCGGAGCCCCATCTTCCCCCTTGGGCCGGGTAGTGCCCAGAGGGATGGTCTTCGTTTGCATTTATCATCTTCATGCGCTTTGCACTCAGCTACACTGGTATTCAGAGAAAAATGCTGCCATGACAACTGCCACAACAGATGGTATTTGATCAGTCTCTAAGCTACGGAGGAGATACACAGCCGTTCTTCCGAGGTTTGCATATTTCACTTTATCATGAGACCCAGGACAGCCTTAACCATGGTCAAAATGTGAAGTTTTCCATTTGCCTCCCATCCCTCCCCCTTCTCTTTCCAGTTGTTTGGCATTTGTTTTGATTTTCCTTGCTCTCTGGCTGTCCTGGGTGGAGATGGGCTCTTGGACATGGGAAGCAAAGACGGCAGTGCACACAGTCCGTGGAAGTTGCCCTGCAAGTCTCAAGTACAGAGATTGTTGAGAAACTATCCAGCTTGGGGATGGAGATCCTGACTGAGACTGGGAGGGAGCCCTCACTGTAGCCTCTCTCTTCTGGATCATCATAGTCACAGACGGCACACGGTGAAGGCCACCCGTGGCCCCAAGCAAAGGGAAGACTGTGCATGTCCATCTTGGTCTTGGTTTGTCCCCTTACTCTACCTGTGCCTGCAGCCAAACCCCATTCTGCTCCCAGGGTCTCCAAGCCACGTTGTGGTTCCACTTCTGGGCTTTCCACCTCCACCCCACCTAAAACTCCAGAAGCTTCTTTCCAGAGCTCTTGGACCCATTTCTATGGCAGCGATGACCACAGAAGCCTTCTCCCTGCCATGCAAAGTGCGGCTCCCACCATCCCCCACCCCCAACACTGGAATGTCAGGCTTTGCACAGATTTTTGTCAGCTAATTTTGGAAAGTAGTTTATATTGGCTGCTATGTGTTAATGAACCACTTTGGTCGTATTTACATACTTTGCTGCTTAAGAGCCTTTCCCATCACTCTGCATTCCCAACTCTAATCAGATCTGCCTCTCACCCTGTGTGTCTGGGGAGCACATGCACCCCAGGGCTCATCAGCGCTAGGCACAGGGACACCCTTGTGCTTGCTGAGGGCCCCTGGCCAGGCCCTCACTGGGTGTGGTGGCGGTGTGCAGTTTCAACGGTGCAGGAGGATAGATTGCTTGTTTACTGTATGGTACTTGGAAGAAAACCTTAAGGTGAATTTCAGTCACAAGAGAGGCTGGATCAAAGAAACATTCTCCCCTTCTGATCTCCTTCCAAGTGAAGCTAGGAGGTTGGAATCCACATCTGACCCTATTCTGCTTCCCAGCCCCGCTCTCTTCCTGGGGTGCAGATGAAAAGAGCGTGGGTCTCAGCAGCCTTGTCAGGAGTGATTTTTAACCTTAATGGAACATTATTAAAGAGTGGATTTGAGACTTGAGGAATGTTTTTTGAACTCCTTCTTTGAGCAGAGAAATCATCATAGTAGAGGGAAAAAATTCAAGGCACTTGATGGGCTTATGAATTGTCTTTTAAATGATGACCCAAGTTCTTATTTTTAGTTTTAACATATTCCAGGAGTGCGATGCAACCATCCAGACGCTGTCCCCTGCTTTATCTCCTCTTTAGGAGAAAGCATTCTTGGTGCCCCTAGACCTTCTCCCTCCACCTAACCAAGGAAGATCCTGATGCTTCCTTTGCTTATATGCTCTGATTCTCCCTGACATGGCTGGGAATTGGGGTGTGTGTCGGATGGCTCTGTGGACCCTAGAGAGAAGGGCTATGTAAGTGTGGGCTTCTGGACAGGACGAGGGCTCCTGGACAGGACGAGGACTCTGCCCTAACATGGTCAAGAGAACCCAGCACAGTGTCTGGAACAGAGCAGACATCTACAATTATATTGATTGATGGAAAGAATCACAGGTTTCTCAGGCTTCGTACTATTGACCCTTTGGGTAGGATTTGCCATCCTTATGTGTGTTGTAGGATGTTCAGCAATATGTGTGTTGTAGGATGTTCAGCAATATCTTTGGCCTCTACCCACTAGATGCTAGTGGAACCCCCCCCACACACTGTGAGAACACAGAATGTTGCCAGATGTCCCTTGGGGGTGGCAACATTGTTACCCCTTCTCCCCGCACTCTCCCTGCCCTGTGGAGAAATGATCTTGAAACTCTTTGAAAGAATAATAGGGATTTTAAAAAGTAACAGGAGGAAAAAAAATAGTCCAGGTAACCTATTTATAATTATTCATTCCTTTAGTAGAATTTAACATTAAAAGAAAGCCCAGTAGATGGCCAAATTGAAATGAACCAAGGGCTAGCCCGGCAGGAAGAAATTACCATGTACTTTAAAATACGATATGCATTGAATTCTCCATAAATGTGCCACGTAAATGTGCCTTATGTTCCTTGGAAGAAAATGTCTATAGAATTAGAATGTTGTAGTAGGGCAGTGATTTTCTTGAATACATCGGTGGGGGTCTTTTTTTGTTTGTTTTTAAATCAATGCTACTCTGCCACACTGTTGTTGAAAAAATGTAACCTACCCACGTCAGCACACCTCCGTGACGCTTGCCAGGATAGATACCAAGTGTACTATTTTTGATTTTACATTAATAGATTCCCAGGCAGTCAGCTTTTTCTTTATCTCAATTCTCACGGGGACAATACTTGCCCAAACCTCACTTATCAGCCATGTGCAAGATACACTGAAGAAGCAGGATAGGATTATTCAAAGGAAAAAGGGATTGAAGAATTTTATAATTTTATCATGATTTAAATATTAGTCCCTCTGTGGGGGCAACAGATCCTTTTGTGTGATTTTGGTACATTACCATTGTGGGCTGTTGTGGAAATAAGGACTGATAGTTATTTTTCTCAAAATGTAACAGGGGGTAATAACATTTAGAGATCTAATTTTGATTACTTAAAATGTAAGCGGATTGCTTCAAAACGCCTTCCACAGGGTTTCTCCCGCCATTCTTCCTTCTTTCCCCTCCCCTTGCCCTCTAGGATAGTGGCACCTGCTTGTCATCATCAGTCTTTCTGGCTTGGAAGGAAGGAAGAGTTAAAAGCAATCTTGCTTTCCCTCCCCTTTATATGAAATGATTTTCTGCAGTGGTGGCAGGCATAACCCATAACATCAGCATTTATTTGCAGGAAATTGCATTTTGACCCTTTTTCCAAAGATGATTTAAAAAAGTCTCCCAGATGAGGATCTTTGAGGGTGAGCGGAGGCTGGGAGAGAGATGGGAACCCGGGTGCCCCCGTAGCTCAATTTTGTGTTTAGAAGGTCTGAAGACTGGGAGCAGAGAAGGAAAATGCCAGACACAGGGAAGGAGGACATATATTTCAGGAAGACTGTCTTGGAGCCAGACTTTACACAAATTAGACCACGTCTTGCACTGTAGACTCTGCATTCTGTGGCTATGAAGTCGCCTTCAGAAGATCGCTTGGGAAGGGGAAAGGAGAATGGTCACATGGACTCTGTGAAAGACAGTCATTTATTCAAGATAAACCCTATGGGTTAAACACCCTCTTGAATGTATAAGAATGCTGACAGAGCGTAAGTCTGGTCAGGGACAGGGGAGTTCTCCACTGTGAAATGCAAACTGTGTGAAATTCAAAGATCCTTGTGCCAAGTCAAAAGCAGTTTCTTTTATTTACGGTCACCATTGACATTAATCGAGCCTGAACATTTTCCTGTAGACCAAAAAATCATTAGCCTTGACAAATGAAGTCAAATCAGACCTTTGGGAATGACCTAATTGTTCTTTCCCGAGGGCTGGACGTTTGCTTGCCCTTGGCCGTGGCATCAGCCCTGGCAAGCCTGGGAGGCCTCCCAGACTCTGGCAGGTGGGTTCCTTCTTGTCACAGAACACACAAAGGACAGAGGGGTTCACGGAGGTCACAGCCCCCCCTCGTCATCTGCAATGCCTGCCAGCCTGAGAATTTTGTGAGTAAACGCGGCCCAGAGCCCGCTGAAACTCCCATTCACTGTTTTCACATTTGATGGCGTGCCTCCTTGGTGCTGGAAATTTCTCCCAGCTGCTGGTGGACGGGGTGGGTCTACTGTCCCCTTCATCCCCACCTCCATTTTTCTGGCAGCTGCTCAAATTTTCAGGATAGCGCTAGTGACAGTGGTGCACATAGGCGCTCTCATTCCACTCTGGTTATTTTTGGTAGCCATGAGCAAGCCAGGGCCTTGACTTCTGGAACTGTGTGGTTGGGATATTAGGTAACTTTTTCTTGGGCAAGTACAGACAGGGAGTCCTGACCTGCATCCATCCATCCATTCATCCGTCCGTCCCTCTGCCGCTGGCACGTCATTTTCCTCGTTGCGAACCTTAGTCAATGCCCAGTGAATTCTCTCTCCGACGTCGCCCTTTGTTCCTGATAAAAGATGGCTCTGAGAAGGCTGAACCTTGATTGAGCGTCTGTCATTTTTTTTTTCTAGATTGAAAACATAGATGCCTGCTTGAATTTCCTGGCAGCAAAGGGAATAAACATCCAGGGGCTGTCTGCAGAAGGTGAGTCAGAGCACTTGTCATGAAGCTGACTTTTCATTGTTAGAAATGCCCACCTGTTACTTACTGATGACTTTAATACAGTTAAGCCCAGGGCTGCTGGTGTGCGCTTCTGGCTTTGTTTTCTTCCTGGTTTGGAGGCAGCTCAAGGCCTGTCTAGACTCAACTATGCCAACTTTTTGACACCTAAAGAATCACTCCAGGAATGGAGATCCCACCAGGCGGGCCGATGTCTGCTAGACACAGAGGAGGGGTTACTGGAGATGCAGCCGCTTCTCTGGAGGAGGGCTTAATCCAACAACGCCGATTTGATTCACCCGGCTAGCAATTCAGTTAATTATCAAGCCGGGCCTTATCTGTGGGAGAGAGAACACTTAGCCACAGCTTATATTTAAATTGCATAGTTCCCAGGGAAAAACGCAGAGTCCTTATCTCTTGCTTTTCTTAGTTCAAAAAAAAAAAGAAGGAAAGAAAGAAAAGAAAACACGTGACGTATTAACGAGAGGCTGCGTTTTGACATCCTGATTAGTTTTTAATTAACTCCAATTGGGTGGCTAATTAGCACATTAGCGTGTGCTGGTGGTTTGCTATTCAATTAAGTATTGGTGTGGAGATGGCTGGTCCGAGTTCTCAGCCGCCTCGGGCAACGTCTCGCCCTGGAATCTTCTGGGCGCTCTCCGGTTTGTAAATCCAGGCAGCTGGCAGTTCAGACGCGGCCGCAGGCCTCAGCAGCCTCCCAGCCTCATTAGGCTGCACCTGCCTCCAGTTTTCCCAGAACAGGTAAAGCAGTTCGGGCCTCACATGACCCCACCTTTCCCTAGCAAGGCTGCTTCTTGAAAAGATGACTATTAGCATCGATTCTGGTGGTCCGGGTGGGGAGGAGGGGAGGCAGTGAGGAAGGAAGGAGACCAGTGGAACAGGTAAGTTTGCAAGTGTGGCCTACTTGGGGCCTGTTCCTTGCCTCTGCCCTGCTACTCGGTGAGAGCTTGATTTTCCTGGCTGTGTGAACGGTACTGGGGGCTGGCGGCTACTCCTGATGCCTCGTGGGCGTGTCGTGCTGTGTCTCAATGTGACCTCTCCGATGCTGGGCCTGCCCCAGGTCCGGGGTGGACACACTGCTTGCAGAGGTCTCCATGGCAGCTGTCAGCTGGTCAGCCCTAACCCCGGCTCCGAGAGGGGGGATCCTTGGGGGATTCCTTTGCCCCGGGGGATGGGCCCTCCTCCGTGGGGATGAGACATGGGCTCCAGAACCCGCGGAACGCAGCTTGCTGGGGCGTGGTGGGGCTTGGTGTGGAGTTTCCATGGATAGGTGGGGAGATGCAAATTCTCGTTCCAAGGAACATCATTTCCTTCTGGTAGAGCATTGTTGTGTTGGTGGGTGGGTGGCACGCACAGGCTCCTCGTGCTTTCTGGAAGGGGCTGGACTCCAGGCCTGTGCCCCCCTCCCCAGCAGAGGATCAGCAGGGACTTGCCCAGAGTCCCGCTCAACAGAAAGGGCTCTAGGCGATGTGGACTCCATGTAAGTCACCTTCATCCATGTGGCCTGGAGGTGATACCTGGCCCCTCTGGCATCTATCTGCATGTTGTCCTGCGCTCTGCCTTGTTTGTCCCCCTGAACCTACCCCGTCCTCTTGAGACCTTAAGGCACAGATTATTCAGTAAGTACTTGTTGAATAAATAAGTACCACCCGCACTTCTCAGGCTTGTCTATGAAGCAGCTCCAGCGCCTCCAGCTGAAGTGGGGACTCATAATAGCCGGAATGTACAGATGACAAAAGTTGACTTAAAGAGGTGCTGAGTGACATCCTCCAAGCCCATAGCTAGTGATCAGCAGAGCCAGTGCTGACCCCGGGTCTCTGTGATTTCAGAACTCGTGTTCCTGGTGGTGTCTTTTGGGACAGCAGAGGGATAAAGTCGAGGCATGTCACGTACAGGTGAAGGAAACCAGAAAAGATCTAGAACTTTCTTGGCCAGAACACGGTCTCAGAAGATGAGGCCTATCAGGCAGACCCTCAGCTCCAGCCTTGCTCATGTTAGGATGTGGCCCGTGGGGGTCTCTGAGCACAGAAGAGCCCACCGACCCAGTGTGTTGAGGTGTCTGTCATTGGGGCACAGCCGGGAAGTGGCTTCATGGTGTTTCAGTAACGGCCCCCCAACTGTGTGATGTGGAACCCCTCATCTTTCCTGCTGAGTCGAGACTCACTTTCTGACATCTTGGCCAGAATACAGAACTTGTCAGTCATGGTCCATTATTAGAACAGTTTTATCTTAATGCTTATGATGGTATTGTTTTGGTTTTTTAAAATTTTTAATTTAAATTCAGTTTAATTAACATATAGTGTATTATTAGTTTCAAGGATAGAATTTAATGATTCATTAGTTGCATGCAATATCCAGTGCTCATTACATCACGTGCCCTCCTTAATGCCCACCACCCAGTGACCCCATCCCCCTATGCGCCTCCCCTCCAGCAACCCTCAGTTTGTTTCCTAGAGTTACCAGTCTCTTATGGTTTGTCTCCTCTCTGTTATCTTATTTTTTCTTCCCTACCCTATGTTCATTTGTTTTGTTTCTTAAATTCCACACATAAGTGAAATCATATGGTATTTGTCTTTCTCTGACTGACTTACTTCACGTAACACGATGCCTTCTAGTTCCATTAATTTTGCTGCAAATGGCAAGATTTCATTCTTGTTGATGGCCAAGTAATATTCCATTGCATATATATACCACCTCTTCTTTATCCATTCATCTATTGATGGACATCTAGTTTCTTTCCATAGTTTGGCTATTGTGGACATTGCTGCTATAAACTTTTGGGTGCACATGCCCCTTCGGATCACTACGTTTCTATCTTTAGGGTAAATACCCAGTAGTGCGATTGCTGGGTCATAGGGTAGCTCTATTTTCAGCTTTTTGAGGAACGTCCACGCTGTTTTCCAGAATGGCCGCACCAGGTTGCATTCCCACCAACAGTGTAGAAGGGTTCCCCGTTCTCTGCATTTCTCATCAACATCTGTGATTTCCCAAGTTGTTAATTTTAGCCATTCTGACTGGTGTGAGGTGGTATCTTACTGTGGTTTTGATTTGTATTTCCCTGATGCTGAGCGATGTGGAGCATTTTTTCATGTGTCTGTTGGCCATTTGGATGTCTTCTTTGGAGAAATGTCTGTTCATGTCTTCTGCCCATTTCTTGATTGGATTTTTTATTTTTTGGGTATTGAGTTTGATCAGTTCTTTATAGATTTTGGATACTAGCCCTTTATCTGATAAGACATTTGCAAATACCTCTTCCTATTCCATAGGTTGCCTTTTATTTTTGGTCTTGTTTGCTTTTAAACTGCAGTTTCACGTTCTGCTCACTGCTCTTTTTCACCCACATAACCCAGAGAAGTGGCTTTGGAAGATTGGAGAGGGGGAGGGGGACCTGGGTGGCTCAGTCAGTTAAGTGTCCAACTCTTTATTTCAGCTCAGGTAATGATCTCAAGGTTATGAGATTGAGCCCCACATTTCTCTGCCTCTCCCCTCCACCCCACCAGCTCACACGCATGCTCTCTCTCTCTCTCTCAAAAAAATTAATTAAAAAAAAAAAAACAGAAGAAAAAGAAGAAGATTAAAGAGGGATGGAGGCCTAATGACTTCTCCCCCTCCCCTCTTTCCTTTGTCTGAGCCTCTAGAACTGGGGCAGATAAAGCAGGCAAAATTTTGCTGGGTGAAGTCACTGCCCTCTTTTTACAGAGCCGTAATTGGTCCTGTCCCCAGGCCAGAGTCTCCGCATGCCCCACTGACCACGGACTTGCTCTCATGCTGTTCCCGGCACATTAGTAGTCTTTTGTGAGATTGTCTAGCAATTCTGGCTCTCCCTCAGTGGGTAGCATTTATATCTGGTCCCCCCCCCAATTCAGGCCCCTTATGGTCCCCAAATAAAGTGGTCCTAGTAAGACTGTAGAGCTCAGTCTCCTCACCCCTGTCTTACGCACTTCAAAACTGGCAGGAATGTGTGGGCTCCATTTTCCACTTAGAGTAGGTAGAACAGTCCTCTGTCACCTGGAAGCCCCCACCATGTAGTTTCTCTCCAACTCTTTCCTCCCGGACTTAGGTGGCCAAGAGGCAGATCTGCCAAGTCCGTGCTGAGTGGATGTCCACCCAGGGCCAGGAATGCCAGTACCTGACTTGGAGTGATCCTCTTGGCCCCTCCACTCCTTTGTCTTCAAGGAGTGCAAGGACCTCACCTTCTTTTCCTGGGCGAGGGGAGGAAATATCCAGTATCTGTGATCATCAGACATTGCCATTTTCCCCCACTCTGCAACACTTTCTCATCTAGAAAGATCTAGATTTGAGGGGGGGGGGTTGCTTTTTTTGTCTATTGAGGCATTTAATTTGCTTGTATGTATTACCTCCCTAGAAAAGGAATCCCAGGATTTTTCCTCCTGTGTGTTTTTGCCTTGCTGCTTCATGGTCCATGACGGCAGCGAGGTTGTCCATACAACAAAACCAGACTGGCAGATGGGAGCAGATTATTCTGCTGTTTTTCTAAATCTTTGAGTTTTACATCAGATCTAGTGCTCATCACTCCACCCTTGTTTAACCTGCCCCGAGGTTCACAACAACGTTCCCAGGTCTGTGACCATCAGTGATTTCAAATTCGCTAATGTAAGCATGCTTCATCATCACAGTGAGAAACCGGAGAACCGTTTTTTGGAGCATGGCCTTGGAGAGAGCCCACCGTCGGAGCATGACCTGGCGTTTGCCTCTCTTTTCAGCATTGTTAATGCTGTTGAGGGCATCTGCCAGGATGTTCATGTGTAATTCATGGGCAATCCCATTACAGTGGCCCAGGAAGATGGTAGAAAGAATCCTCTAGATCTTACCTTGGCTTTTGAGGTTGGGGGATAATGATGGTGTTTGTTGGTGAGACAGATTCTGGACTAGTGCGGTCTTAGAGGAAGGTGACTGGTCCACACTTTTGTCGACTGCTTGAACTCCTAGAGGAAGGACACTTA